GCAGCAGCAGCAGCAACAACAGCAGCAGCAGCAGCAGCAACAGCAGCAGCAGCAGCAGCAGCAGCAGCAGATGAAGATAGCTATCTAGTACAGATAGAAATAGGCGGCCAGCTGAGGGACTGCCTGCGGCGGCCATTGGGGGGGGGGAGGCCCCCGCTGCAGTGTTTGCTGCCAGCAGCAGCAGACGCAGCAGCAGCAGCAGCAGCAGCAACAGATGCTGCTTCTCCTGCTGCTGCAGGGCTTGCTGTTGGACTTGCTGCAGCACTGCAGCAGACAGCAGCAGCAGAAACATCTCTTCTTGCTGCTTTGCCGTGCATAGGTTATGGCTGTTCAGATCTGCTGCGGCTGCGGCTGCTGCTGCAGCAGCAGCAGCAGCAGCAGCTGCAGCAGCAGCAGCTGGCAGTGCGGCTGCTTAGTAGTCAGGGGACGCCCCTTTGCTTCGATCTCCGGCGCGTAGAGCCGCAGTTCACTGCTGCTGAGGCGCTGCAGCTGCAGCAGGAGCAACAGCAGCAGCAGCAGCAGCAGCAGCAGCAGCAGCAGCAGCAGCAGCAGCAGCAGCAGCAACCAGGGGACAGGCATATGCAGACCCGCATCGTTCTTTGTGAGTTGCAGCACCAGACGCAGGAGTCTCCGCCTCAGCAACAGGAGCAGCAGCAGCAGCACAGGCACCAGCAGCAGCAGCAGCAGCAGCAGCAGCAGCAGCAGCGGTGTGGGGTGCGTCGTATACCTCGGTGCGAGGAGAATGATAAGAATGCATGCAGTGGTGTGGGTGCAGCAGCAGCAGCAGAAACAGCAGCAATGATAGAAGCTCCTGCTGCTGCTGAGGAGCTGTGGCCTGCTGCAGCAGCGAGCCCTGATGAAGACGCTGTAGTAGCAGCAGCACTAGCAACAGCAGCAGCAGCAGCAGCAGATGCTGCTGCTGCTGCAGCACGGTCAGCTGCGGGGGCAGCAGCAGATCGCGCTGCACTTGCAGATAGCGCAGCAGAGACAGCAGCAGCAGCAGCAGAAGCTGCTGCAGCAACTGCAGCAGCAGCAACAGCAGCAGCAGATGCGGCATCAGCAGCAGCAGAAAATGCAGCAGCAGCTGCAGCAAATGCAGCAGTAGAGGCGGAGGAAGCAGCAGCAGCAGCAGCAACAACAGAAGCAGCAGCAGATGCAGCAGCAGAGAGACTCTTCTATACTTCTGAGTGGCAGCTGCTGCTGCCGTCGCTGCTGCAGCAGCTGTATGCTGCTGCACTGTCTGGGGTAAACAACACCAACTACGGCGGCCAGAGGCTTGTCTCCTGCAGGTATATATATATATTTTTTTTTTATTTTTTTTTATATTTATATATTTATATATTTATATATTTATATATTTATATATTTATATATTTATTTGTTCATTTATTTATATTTATATGATGTATATGTATATATATGTATATATATCTTTTGTTTTTATTTGTTGCTGTGGTTCTCTCCCACCCTGCTGTTGCTGCTGCTGCTGCTGGGTGTTGTACTGTTGCTGCTGCTGCTGCTGGTGCTGCTGCTGCGTGTTATGCTGTTGCTGCTGCTGCTAGGCGATGTACTGTTGCTGCTGCTGCTGCACTTGCTGCTGCTTGTTCGATTTTTTTTCAGTAGTTTATGTTTCTGGCTGTTGTTGCTGCTGCTGCTGCTGCTGCTGCTGCTGCGTGTACTGCTACTGCTGCTGCTGCTGCTGCTGCTGCTGCTGCTGCAGGCGGTATGCTTCGTCGGCGCAGCAGGGGGGAGAGGTAGAGGTAGCTCTTGTCGAAGGTGCAGCAGGAGAGTTGCTGCTGCGTTTGGTTGCTCTTTTGCATGAAGACAACAACGAGGAGACAGCAGCAGCAGCAGCAGCAGCAGGAGACAGTTGCTGCTGCCACTGGGGTTTGCTGCTTGATGATAGAACCCCGCAGCAGCTTGCTGCTGCTGCTGTTACTCAGTGCAGCGCAGCTGCTGCTGCTGCAATCGCTAACCTTCAGACATCAAGCCGACCGTCTGGTGCTGCTGCTGCTGCTGCTGCTGCACCTGCAACCCCACCTGCTGCTGCTGCTGCTGCGGATCGAGGGAGTCCTGCAGGAGTGTCGGGTTTTGCTGCTGCGATGGCCGCCTTGGGCCAGCCAGCAGCAGCAGCGGCAGCAGCAGCAGCAGCAGCGGCGACGGGGCAGCAGCCGCAGCGGCAGCAGCAGCAGAACCCAGGCAGCAGCAGCAGCAGCAGCAGCAGCAACACGGGGCAGAAATGGAGACAGCCGCCGCAGAGCTTCTGGCCTGAGGGCTCTGTTGCTGCTGACAGCCAAAGCGTAGACACCCCAATGCGTAGAGTCCGCGTCAGCAGCAACGGCGTATCCTTCAGCAGCAGCAGCAGCAGCAGCAGCAACAGCAGCAGCAGCAGCAGCAGCAGCAGCAGCAGCAGCAAGGTTTGCTGCAGCGCCTGTCGAAGCATCACGCTGCACGTCGTTGACCTCAAAATACCGCGCAAGGTAGACGGCAAATCCAGTAA